TAACTTCAAATGTTGTCCTGTTTGTCATTAGTGTCACACATCTCAAAATGTTCATGTCTGACCATAAAGTAAATGAAGAATGTCTTTTTTTATTTTTTTTATTTAAAGTTTAAAAAAAATTTAAAATCATTGTAATTGGATGGGAGGTTTGTGTACAAATAAATACTGAAAAAGCATCCCAGAGGATCTTCAGACTAGAGTTTCACAGAACAACTAAATGTCTGCAGCTCCACTTGCTCTGCAGTGACTAAGCAGTAGAACTGACTTTGTAAGCGTTACACAAACCATTTTTTCAAGGCATAGATAGCATCTATGATGCAATCAAAAATATGGAACAATGTGTTACTGCATACAGAAGGCGCCTTCTATTAATGGACCTTTCATGCAGCTGAGTGCTAAGCTTTGAAATAAGCTACTAAACTCACATGAGCAGCTGTGTGTTATAAAATAATAGACTGAAAATACCTGGGATGGGCTTGCAGGACTTCCCCAACACCTGGAACAATAAATATCCTGCTTTAGGGTAACCACAAACATAACTCATGCACAAAATAAACATAATAATAAGTTTCTTAATGTAGTATATTTAATAGAGAAAACTCACCTGTGTGGGATAGTTAACATACTGAAGAGCAGAGTTACTGGAAACCATCGCTCCAAGATAGGAGAGGGAACAGAGGCCATAGAGCCAGCTCTTAGTATGATCCACTTTGGAGCTTTCAAAAAACTGGATCACTGTTTATAAGAAGACACAAAACATGCATTTTTTTCTTTTGAAAAACTACAGGATGATCATTTCAAGATTGAAGTGTTGGTTACTTGCTCAACAGCTTTGCAGCCAGATACTTACAGATCTTAGCAAAAATGCCATTGATGATGCACTGGATAAAGACCAACGTCCGTGCAAAAGTAAACTTCTCTCCACCATAATTCCCTCTTGTGCTGCAAGAGTCAGACAAACAGGGCTGAAGGAAGGACTGCTTAAAACACCACTAAAAGAAAACTGACCAGCATGGACAAACAACTTTCATTATAAAAAAAACTTTACAAAATAAATAATTTTTTTAAATTTATTTACCACCTGTTTTGGAGGTTTCAGTTTAGACTGATCCCAAAGACTGCAGGACTAGTGATGCCAGCAGTGTCTAATACCAACACTGATTGCAAAAACTATGTATTATCTGATATGATCTGTGGCCCCCTCATGGGTAACACACCAGGTGTGAAATAGATAAAAAACCGAGGTTCCCTTGTTTGACATATTTCTAGAAAACTATTCAAAATTGTTAAAACTTAGTGCTTTGTTGACCGCTACAAAAATATCTAAAAGCATGTTAGATAAAAGTTACAAAATTTTGTAAAATTCCATACATATGTATTTGAAACATAACTTTAACTCCACTACATTTCGAGGAAGCTGCTAGTTACTTGTTCCTTTTGGCTCAGCTTAGTTTTGCAATCCATTGTTGCGGTTTTTCTTTCTGGAGATAGCAGAGCGCAGGACTGATCTTTGACAGTACTGCATTTGAGATTTGCATGACATTTTATAAATGTGAGAGGGTAGATACTACTTTAAGTTTATTGCCATTTGGCCACGTTGTTCAGTAGGATGAGTTCTCAGATCAGAGTTGGAGTTGTGGTAATTGGTTATACACCTTAAACCTCTATTCCACAGTGAAAGCATGAGGAGAATCAAAACATTCCTGTTTTCTTTATGGTTTTAAATAAGAAATAACAATCACAGTAGCTTTCCTTTTTTGTGGATTTTTTTATGCTAAAGTCCTTTACAGGTGGTTTAGAATCTGTAGCAGATGGTTCTATGCATCAATACATCAGGTGGTTTCTGAAAGTTACAAGGTTCTTTAAAATTACTCAGGAAATTCTGCAGACATGGACTGATATTAAAATGTGTTATTTCTATTTTTGAATAGTTACGCTTTTTTAAATGCAGGAACTTTTAAATACTTAAGTATTTTCAAATGTAGTTTCTTCAATACTTTAACTTGAGTAGACGTTTGACAGATTAACCTTTACTTTTTGTATCAGTACTTTTACTGTTGAGTACTTCTCCACCCCTGCTTAACAGAAAAGTCTAAATAGACAAAGAGGGACCAAAATTTGTTGTTGATAAAAGAGCCATTGGAATCCTAATCCTAAGTATTGAAGACTTTAAACCTTTTAAGATTATATATTTCATTGGGTCAAAGCTAGAAGAATCTAAAATCTTGCCAGATACCATAAACTCCAAGAAACCACAGAGCAGACTGTTAACTGTTAAATCATTGTCAACAATTGTGTCATTTTGCTAAGCAGACAGCTGCTAGCTACTTACATCGTCTCTTGTAGTATACCGTAATAAAAATAACACACGAAGACTCCAAAGAAGCAAACAATGAAGCGTATCCTCATATTGTCCCACATCGAGACGGGCTTCCCTGCTCCTTTTCCCCCAGCCATGCTATCCTCCACCAGCCCGGGCAGGTTCACAGACACCGCTCCGCTCCCCACAGCCCTTACACCGGCGTCCCGCTCCACTATAACCGCTGGGGAGAGCTGTTTGATTACTTAATTTCCTCTTCGTGATAAAACTTTTGTTGGTATTCCTGCTACAGCACAGCGACCGTTAGGTACCAAAGCTTCACAGGTCCGTTTTTCCACTTAGCCTGTTAGGCGCATCACAGCTAACTATTTTAACATGTTTAATATTATTAATCTTCAATTGACAAAAAGAGCATTTAAAACAGAATAGCACAGAAAAAGTAAACCAACTGTGGAGTGGCAATTCGTGTTTTTACTGAGCGACCACTTGATGTAAAATTAAAAAATAAATCCTGCCGAAAAATATATCAGGACCCCGGAGGATCTCCATTTAGCCTGAACGCTAGTACATTTATAACCTAAATATTTTTTTAATCAGTGGGAGCCTGTTTTTTTCACACATTTATAACTCAAACTGATTCGTTAAAAATTAAAACAACTGAAGTTATTTAATGTTGATAGAATCTTAATGGCTATATTTTGTATACCGGCAAAACGTAAGGACAGCTAAGATTAAACAGGTGGTCCTTCTTGTAATAGAAGCGTCCTATTTTTGTCGTATCAAGATGTGGATTGATTTCATTGGTCCATGTAAGTGTTACAACTTTACAGTGAGCCAATCACAACAGTTGCCGAAAATCTACTTGTCCAATAAAGTGGCACAATAACATTAAGCGTTTAATATAATAGTAGCTTATTTGAAAGAGAAGTTATTTGTGTTCCTCGATAACGGTCTTGATATAAACAGATTATAGGGGGCAAAAAACTCACTTACAAATACTGTATTTTAGTTCAGTAAATGGTTCTTAATCAAAAACAATAAATACCACCAGCTCAATGTTTTTGTGAGTATTATTTCTTTAATAAACACTGCAGTGAATGATTCAAACCAGCTTATACAATTTAAAAATACATGTAGAATATAAAATTTGGTTTTAGGTTTTTAAAAGATATGGATAAAATTGAACAAAATTGTTTCCATATTATTTTTAAATGGACTTTGTCAACTCAAAGATGTAAACACTCATGATAACCTCTAATATTGGTTCATCTACCACACCAAGCCTTTTTGTTACTTATGCTTTCACCATCAATACATTAGTAGCTGCTGGGCCTTAGGAAATAAAAATGTTTTCTCTTAATATTTAACAATTATATTCTCCCATAACTTTACAATTGGGATATAAGTCACAAGTTCTGGTGCTATGTAGGAAAATTAATATTTTTTATTGATTTATTTTTTACTTCTGTCCATTTCAAGTATATTCAATAAGAGGTTTGCCATTAAAAAAATATAAATGAAAAAATCTGTTATTTGAATGCATGAAAAAAGGTATAGAAATGAAAAATGCTAAACTAAGTAGCAGTGGGATGTAAATTATTTTCCCTTTTTGCTTTCTCAATTTTTAGAGACCTTGAACATAAAAAAAAAAAATCGTCTTATTTTCCATTTTTTCCACTCAGCAAACTTGAGAAACATCCAACAAGTAAATACTAACACATTTTCTTATGTAATTATGTCCCTTTTAGACAAGTTAGTCTATCAAAACCTTTAATCGAACTTGTAATATGCATTTTAAAAAAATGTCTTTGTAAAAAACATAACAGCATATCCCTACAGAGTAAGAAAAATAAATACGGTCTCTCTTAACATCTGTAGAAAATGAGGGAATAAATGTTCAAATATTTCTTCTAATCAACACCATTACCATAGAAATCTGCCATACTGTTTTTTATGCGATAGACTGTAAACTAATTTAGATTAATTGCAAGTGCTTGGCTTTCTTAAAGTAAATTCACTTACTTTGATATTAAAAATGAAACAAAACAATCTACAAAAACAGGGAGATAATAGACTTATAAAACTAAAAACTCATTTGTTTTCTGAAAAAAGGAAATTAATGTTAAGCATGAGTTTCTTGCACATCAGCTGAATTGTGAAGTCTTATATTTGTCTTTTACGGCAGAAACCAAAAACAAAAGCAGTCTCAATGAGGTTGAAAAAGCATAAGAGAAAAAGAAATCCTTCAGGCAGAAATAATTTATAAACCAAGTTAACTTTAAGCCACATTATCCAAAAACGTTGCAGAAACAAACACCGACAGTCAGATGGTAATGGTCAATGGGCCAACAGGGATCAGACACTTAATTGTGAGTCTGCATTCATTATCAGTCAAGTCATTATCAAGTGTTCCAGGTTCTGACAGTGCATTTCTCTGTAGTCCTCAGAGACACTGTTCTGATATCCACCTACTGCATGCCCAGATTCCTGGTAGGAGAGGCTTGGCCGGAGCAACCAGTGATGGGAGACACAGAAAGACCGCGAAAAAGGAGGTCCATGGAGGGCAGCAGAGGTTTTAAGAGGCTGACTGGGCAGAAAGCAGAGCCCCCATGGGGGGTGAAGTTGACTTTATTGGGGTCTGGGCAAGATGGCTGAAGGGGAAGTTCATCTTGACAGGCAGACCTAGAGGTGAAGAAATATAAGTAGAACAGAGAAACAAGTGAATGTTAAACAAATGAATGTTAAGGCTTAAAGGTGATTTTTTTTGTTAAAATGGTTGAAATATTGGTTTCATAATAATAATATTGAACTTTATTGGTCTCACACTGGATAACTTTTTCTCTGCATTTAACCCATCCCCTTTGGGGAGCAGTGTCGGGTTAAAGTTCTTGCTCAGAGAGCCAGAGTGGAGGCTTGTGGGGATCAAACCGGGTACTTGCAACCTTCTCACAGCACAAGCGCACTGCTCTAACCACTAGGCCAACACTCCCACTTTCTTCTAATTAATAAAGGTCGCCTAAAATATTTTGAAATCTATTATACAAGCAAAGATAGCTCATCGCACAAGTTTAAATTGCAAAAATGATACTTGGACCTTTTAACACAATAATAATAATAATAATGTAAAAAAAAAAAAAACTTTTCGTCTAATCAGTCAAACCATTATTTATCTCTATGTTTGAGGTAAGTTACACAGCCTAAATGAAGATTTAAAAAACGCAAAAAGGAAGCATCATTCTTGTTGAGAAGAATAAAATGTAATCAGATTTTTGATCTCATTTTTGTCGGTTGATCAAAGCCGTCACATCCTGTTTTGTACATGAGTAGTATCAGTGACAGTCTAAGAAAACTTATCATCGAGTGCTGTTCTCCTTTTGTACACCACAATCCAGTGAATATATTATTTATAAAGGCTAGATAAGATTTAAAAATACTGTGAGAGTCATCTTAGTGCTTTTTAACCTGTCATGGGTTTGAGAAGCAAGATCTGCTTTAAAATACACATCTAAAACAAACCAAGATTAGCCCTAATCATCAGATCCACATGCAACCTTTTGGTATTAATGTTAAAAGAACCTGTTTCCAATAGAACTAAACATCACAAATTTTACTGTGTCTGATTTTGTCACGGTCCTGGTTCTGTTAAGTTTTCTGTATTTTCAGTTTCACATTGATCCATGTTTTTCTCAGTTTTCTTGCTTTATTGATGTTTTCTGGATATATTTGAGTTCTTAGGTTTTTCTTTGCTTGCCCTCTCTTGCTCTCTTGTGTTGGTCGCCTTTTCCCTAACTCCTTCTAGATGTCACATTCTTGATTCTGTTAAGTTTTTGGTGAGTTTTCAGTTTCACGTTGATCCATGTTTTTCTTTGTTTTCTAAGATGGATAAACCAGACTAAATGTGAGATTAAATGTGTTATTTAGTCCGGCCCCCAATGAATGAGACATCGGAAGATTGTTGATGAGAACAACCCGTTGTTTTTCATGCTTGTGCCTACTGGCCAACGCTCTGACTAATGAGTGCCACTGACTGTGACGTAGTAAGTGCAACAGAAAGCTGGTGGGGGAGTGTAAACAAACAGCCTGTTGGTAAAACGTTGAATACGTCCTTCTTAAAAATGAATGAGCGTAGAGCCTCTTCCTGCTCACGTTTCAATGAAAAAACCCCAAGTCTAATCCTTCCAAAAGTGATTCCAAAGCTGAGTCAAACAAGAACTGTTCAATTGTTGTTGCCATCTTCCTTGTTGTGCTTTCTGCAGCGTCACACAGCTTTGTCGTCCCGCCCTTAAAACCCCTCTCGCTTTGCATCCAGATTTTCAAAACACATTGCAAGTGATTAGCCCGCCAGTTCTAGGGCCTGGGGCGTTGATCGAGGCTAGACCAAACTCGCAGGCAAAAATGATTTTGGCCGCTGGCAGGTGGGGCTAGTTTACTAGGCTATTGCTTTCTAGCTTTATTGGTGTTTTCTGGATATATTTGAGTTCTTAGGTTTTTCTTTGCTTGCCCTCTGGTGTTGGTCTCCTTTTTCCTAGCTCCTTCTAGAAGCCTCTGTTCACACCTGCTCCCAATCAACTCATTAGTCCTGTCTTTGTTCAGTCTCCAATAAATACTCTCCCTGTGCAGTCCCTCCGTGCTAGTTCCTCATCTTTCCCTAGCTCCTCGCGCATGTTTTCCCTGATGTCTCCATGGTTCTGGTTTGGTTTGCATTTTTAAGTTGGATTTTTGGATTCCTGCCTCTGTTACCTGTGATTACTCCATTAAGACTACAATATCTCGCCTCTGCCTCAACATTTGGGTCCTCAAAGCCTTAACCAAACCCTGACAGATTTATTTGTGCTTAAACAAAGGAAGAAAATCCAACTTCTTTAGCCTCACCTAAAGTTTTTTTTACCAAAGAAAAATAACCTCAGAGTTCTTATTAAAGACTTAGGAGACACCTCCGAATTTATTCTTTACAATAATTTCTGCAAATTAGTACTGAATTGAAGCATATTGGATCTACAAGCTTTACGTGGGCCATGGTGCCAAGGGGAGCTGTTACTTTGGTAAAAACTGTGTTTTTTACTTTATTAAAGGAAATTTGGTCAAATAAAAGCAATGATTTCTAATGTAGGACTCCTGTGCATGACAGAGGCTTTGGTCATGACATTTACACCATCTAACATCAACTGTGCTGGACAAAGGTGGTTAAGTGACAACTAATTTCCTAACCGTGACATACATAAATGACACAACCTGATTAGGTCTGAAAAAGACATACAGTAGCTTGTTGAAAAGGTTTGAATCTCTAGTTTCCAAGGATAACAGCCATGAGGGATGGAGCAAAAACATATCCCAGTCCTGAAGCATTTTCTGGAAACGTCTGACATATTTGATAGAGCTTTAAATTGCATCTTCTGTGTTTACAGTTGTGCAAAACTAACAGTATTTTTGGAAATAAAAATATTAGGGACTTTTTTTTAAAGAAGTATAAAAAGCTTAATATTTTTGAAAGATTTTAAAAAATGGACCATATTAGTACAACTTGAAAGGTATAGTGGAGGATTTTGTGAATTTTACCTAGTGGCTTTTTAATCTAAATTCAATCACAGTATATTAGAATAAGGATAGGATTGAAATAAAGTGTAAAATACAAATATATGTATCTGAAAGTATCATTAGTTTGATGTCAACCACTCTCTTTTTGTGTGTATTTGGTTGTTTATTTGTTTGGAATATTTTTTAAGCCAATTTATTTATTGTTGTTTGTCAAAATTGTCATTTTCATTCATCCGTTGCAATATATGTGATTTATTGGATTACATATTTTTTGCTTATGAATAGGATCCATTTGTTTTGTAAAGTGTTACAGATGACATGTATTGTGAACTGACACTATAAAAAAAAAAGTGAATTCATAGTAAACAAGTAGAGGAATCTTATATACCAGCCGGTATCTAACTGTTAGAGGCAACAATCAGAATTTAAAACTCAAAAAGAAATTCTCCCCAACCATTTATTTTTTATCCTTCAATTCTTTTTGTTGATTTCCTTTGGAAACCAATAATGTCCTAATGGCTGCAGGTGAGATTGGTGGGGATTGCGGCCTAGTGGTTATGACATTGCACTCAGTTCTGGGTTCAAGCCCCACTCCCACAGACTGCCACTCTGGGTTCCTGAGCAAGACCCTTATTTGGGCACAGCACAGCCTAGAGGATGGGTTAAATGCAGAGAGATCATTTTGTTGCTCTGTGACAGTGTAATGACATAAAAAGCTGGGGGAAAAATTACTTTTCACATCTGAACCTCATAATAAAACAGACTAGGTTAGTTTTAGAAAACCTCTGAGTGATGTTAAGTATATATATCCTCTCGTCAGCAGCATAAATGCCAACACCCACTATTTTAAAGTAGCAAGAGGCAATAACCATGTAAACTTTATTTCACACAACCAGTTTAACTAATACACTTACGTTGCTTCCTCACATACTCGCACTCGCTCGCAGCCTTCAGGCGGCTCACGCTGGAAGGAGTAGGTTTTGTTGGGACGAGGGGAAGAGGAGCAGGGCTGCTGCAGAGGAGGCTCCAGTGCAAATGAAGGAAGTGGCATGGAGGGAGAGGGACACAAACCCTCACACTCTGCAGGCTCTGCACAGACACACACATTTAGTCACTGACACCTTAAAGACGGGAGCTAAAAACAGATATTTCTGGGTTTTGCTTTGACCAAAGTCACAGTTCAAAGTCCAACCTGGTTCCAGCATTGAACATGTTGGTGGGGAGGGAGACAAAAGCGATGCAGTCAGGTGGCAGGGAGAACTCGAAGCAGAGAGGAGTGAAGAATCAAGAGGACAAGGAGACTGTGGAGGGGACAGGAGGGAAGAATCCAGGGGTCCTGGAGAGGGTTCACTCTGAGAGCCACTACTGCATCTCTGTGCAGGGATGGGAGCCCTGTGGCCATCTGGGATATCTAAAATCTGGAATAACCAAGGAAAAAACACTAAGCTATGACATCTAAAGGCAAATTCTTTCACATAAAAAGGTATCATATGAAACCAATTCATGACAGAAACCAAATTATTGAAAGATTTCGATGATTATATAGAATGAGAAAAATGACACATTTGTGAAGCATTGAGGAAATAAAACTGTCAGATAAATCTACAAAACCGAATTCCAAATTAAAACAACAAATAGTCATGAAAAAATGTCCCACTTTTAATGTTAAAGTTTAAAGAAAATTAAGATAAGGTTGAAATGACATGGATGCATTAAAGGACATTTGTTGAAGCACATTTCTTTTACGGTCGTGCAATAATAGTAATTTATGTACTGAGCAGCATTTTAAATACTGTTGATTGTACATATTGAGATCCTTATCTTATTATATTCTTATACTTTTTTTATTCCTATATCTTATTTTACACTGTTTATATGGGAAGAGTTTAATTTTACTCTGTGGGTTGTAATTTTACTCTTTATCATGTATTTTATTTTGCTCTATTGTACTTGCAAACTTATTTTTCTCTCTTCTGTAAACATTTGCACTGCAAGCAAAGAATTTCCCGCAAGTGATTAATAAAGTAATCCTAATTCTGATATTTAACTTATGAATTCTTTGTAGGGTGAATCACATCTTGATTTGGACATATTTGCCTACAGTCTCTTGCATAACCTCCAAATCTCTCAGATTGTGAGGATTTCTCGTGTCCACAGCCCCCTTAGGTGACAGAAGCTTTTATTTTTTTACAGATTTAGCTCTAATCTTGGCTGAGTAACCTCAAAACAAAGCGAGATATATTTCTCCTTCTTCAGCTTTCTCACAGACTCCCAAAGGTTTTAAGGTCAAACTTCATCCTGTTTTATTACTTTTAAAACTGTTTCAAACAAACACTTATATATTGGACTTGGCCTTGATAGAAAGCTGAGTTTGATCTAAAGAACTGTAACCCCTAATCCAGACCATAAATTGCATAAAGGACTAAGGCCTCTGTACTGTATTTACCCCTTGCTCATATATTTTAAATCCTAAAAATATGGCAGGGATGTTTACAGTTTTTGAGATCCACTGTATTTGGAAACAGGGCAATAAGGGTAAAAAAAAAAAAACCTCTTTTGAGGTTTTTTTTTTTTAAACCAACTATCTTGATTTATGAATAAATTAAAAGAAACTCTTGTAGGTCATTGGCCTAACCTCAAGCTGATCATCTGGTTTCTCAGACACAAAGACTTCCTCCAGCTCCAAACTGAGACCCTCAACGCTCCGTCTCAACCGCGGTGCAAGTCTGTTCAGAGGCATCATGGGAACTGTCTGCCAAAAAAAACAAAAACATTTCAATTGCAACCAGTGTCAGAGGGTTTAAATATGTGCAAAACATTACAAGAGCTGTTTGGTGCAGCTAAAGCTGTTAAAAGTTTAAAGAAAGCAAGTGGTTTTCATCGATGGCTCTCTGGGCTTTCTGAAGTGAGAATAGTGAAAATAGATTCTGTTTAAAAGGAAGATCCATGCAAGATAACCAACCAGTTTGAATGAGTTGCACCATCAGGAGATAAATTGTTGCAGGTTTAGACAGAATCATGTTAGAAACCAGTTGATAGCTACTTAAATGGGGTTAATGCAACTTGCCTCAAGGGGGTTGAGCCAGATATTATTAATACTGTATCGGCATATTGGAGCCTGTATGCACACTATTTTGCACAGTATGCACTTGTTTGCATCATATTCTTATACGATTTGGTTTTATATAATATAGGCAAACCCTTTTAGAGTTATGCCAGCTTTAGATCTTCTGGAAGGCTTTCCTAAAAAGCACAAAGCAGGAAATTAGCAAGTATAAAGATTTTTTTAGGGTTTTCTCTGCTTGAACTGAGATATCGAGTCCAACTCCTGAAAAGCAGCATAACACCAAAATATCCTCTTAACCACAGTTTACATTTGGTGCACACAGTCAGGTAAAAGCCAATATTACCTGTTAACTTTCAAACTAAGTCATGTACTTGACTGCTTAGATGAGATCCATCCCTGTATAAAACATCTCTGCTCCAGACTAGTGGCGTCATGTGTTATGCTACCGGATCCAACTCTTTATCGTGTATTTAGTGATGTAATGTTTACATGCAGGTGCTAAGCCACAGAAACCAATTCCACGTGTTCCTGTCTGCAGTTACTGAGCTAACCTGAAGCATGCATGGTGTTAGGAGGTTAGTTGCCATCGCCTCTGCAGAACGTGGCCAACCTTGCGTTTGATGGCGGGACTTGTTACACAGGTGCCATCTTATCATCATACAACACTGGGGTTCTGTGAAATCCAATTCTTTCACATATGTTTGTCGAAGCAGTCTGCATGGCTAGGACGTAGATCTTCTATAATCAGTGGGTAATTAAAACTTTTCATAATTGGCTGTGTAATAACGCCCATGCAAATACAGCAGTCAACCTTCTCATCTATATTGCTGACCAGCTTTTAATTAGTTTCCACTCATACGTTGACAGTTTACCTAGAAACAATTTTCAAGTCCTTGCAGTGAGAAAGCTCCCCACCACTCTGTCTTTAGCTCCCTTCTTTCAGATTCCTATCTAGATGTGTGCTAAATAACATTAAACATCAGAACTGTATTTTAATGTGTAACCTTTAAAGGCCATGAATAATTTGGGGCTTAAATAAAGCTACATACATTTGGTTATAAGAAAAGCATCAGAAGGCTACCTGAGTTGCGCCTGCTGCCTGTCCTGCTGGCAGTGTGCTGTGGGGGAGATCATATCCTGCAGAGGGGGGTGCATTCCTGGAGCGTTTTTGCAGATGGTGCCTTAGTCTGGCCACCTGAGGGCAGAAGGGGGATAAAAATGATTTAGAGCCAGCCTGACTCCCTCTAAAAGAAAGGTTACAAACTTTGCCCGAGGGTGCTGGTAATATTTCAAGCTAAATGAGTAAAAAAACGCTTTTTTAAAGCTGTATTAGTGAAGTACTTACCTCCTTCAAATGCTCTGCACTGCCCCAAGACGCCGAGCGCTTGTGCCCACCCATACTTCTTCTTCCCCGGGTTTCCTCTGTCCAGGAAAAGGGGGTCTTTAAAAGACACACAGTAAAATAGACAAGGAGTTCAGAGTGTTGGTTCTCACACTCAGTTACGGGAGAAACGCAGATCAAAGGTTATTTAGGGTAGGTTCAAACGGTCAGCAGTGTTGACCTTTTGGAGGAACTCTATATTTTCTGCTGAGCCAGCAAAAAGCCATCAGCTCTACTTTTTTTGGGACAATGACCCAGAAGCTGAGTCCCACAGCTGTTTCGCACACCTGTCTCACAACAGCTGTACAGAGTGACAAGAAACCACTGTGAGCTGCAAACACAGCCCCACTTCCACAAACAGGCACATATAAAAAGAAAAAAATCAACCAAACCACACCATCAAATACAAATTCAACTGCTTGCTTCACAGATACAAACAGTAAACTTATTTTTCTCCCAGTAAAGAGACAAAAACGAGCAAACATGCGGTGCACGTCTTTTCTAGTCACCATACACCACGCTCTCATATATCCATACCGATTTCTTCACATTTACTCTTGATCTCCTGCCAGCTGGACTCTGGTAGATATTCCCAATCTGCTGGTTCTGAGCAGACGACTGGATGTTCATCCTCACCAGTTCCAGGTTGGACCAACCAAGAGATCGGATACCTAAAGTTTTTGTGTCTCACTGATCCGTTTGAACAGCTTCCCGCATAACTGGGCCCACTGTGCAGGCTCCATTCTATTCATAAGCTGGCCTCAGTCAGCCAGACATCAAGTCACACAGCTTTCACTCCCACAATAAGATTTTCTGTCCCTAAGAAACACAACCTCATCTCAAAGCTATCAACTCTACAGGAAAGTCATCGTTCCTTATCTGCCAGCGGGAAAAAACAGATACCATGTCCTCTCTGGTCCACCTGTATGTCCTGCAGGCTAAATAGGTCAGAATACAGCATGAGCAAGTCATCCAGGGACACTGGAATAAAGTTACAGCTACTAAGCCCCCCTGCACCGTGTAATCATCCAAATCTAACATCCCACCCTTTCCATAACATGAGCAGGGCATCATGGGATACCAACCTATAAAAAGACTTAAGAATTTGGCCTGCCTGGCTAATGTTTCCATCTACAGGGAACAGCAGCAGCCTATAGTTTTGACTGGAGATTTCATGATAAACATGTTCTGATCTTTATTAGGTTTGCAAATTACTCATATTCAGCTTTCTGTTTGAAATATTCCAAACTTTCTAAGCAAAGATTAAACAAATAATGTACACCCAATTGTTTAACAAGCTATATAGCCATTTACACCTTTTTTTCCCCAAAACTTTTTTAACTTTTTAGGTTTACAGACATTTTTTTCTGCTCAGTTCTGCACAGGAAAAAATAATGCAATAGATTTGCTTGTTTGTAGGATCATTGTCTTGCATAGGAGAAATGTTTGGCCATGCTTCACCTGTCGGAGACTTAGGTATGTTGTCTTATGTGTATTATTGTCAGCTTTTTTCTAGTATAGTTGTTATCGTCCCTGTTTATGTCCTCATTCTCCTGCATTTAGTTCATTTATTTAGATCCGGCCTAAATGATTATTTAACTTAATCTGCCTCTGCTCATTTAACCCCCCAAAACCCCAGTTTTTGTGTCCTTTTGTGTCCTTGGGCATGACCCTTCACCCGCTTCGCCTACTGATGGAGGTTGGAGGGCCCAGAAAATTCTGACACACTCTACACCTCCAGCTGTGGTCGCTTACTTGGCTCAGTGTCTGTGTAATGGTCGTGCATTCAACAGCTTTTTGCTCTCTCAACCTTCATCTGTGCACTCGGCTGCCTCTGCCCTCATGATTTAATAAACTATGTGAGGCTAAACACCATCTGCCAAGTGCGAAAAATGCTTTAGTCTAACTTTCAGGTTTTATTTCTTCAAGCTTAAAAGAGGTGATGCAAAACTTTCTTTAGCTTCTACCAAGGGAAGCCGAATATCATATCCAAAATAAATAGTTTATTATCTTACTGTTTAGTTTTGGACATAGATGGAAAGGCACATAGACCCTTTTTAAATAGTTATCTGTTATAGTTCATCAGTTCCATCCATTTAGGATGTAGGATATTCTTATAGTGTTACAAAAAATGTTTTATCCATTTCCTTTGAATGTTGCAACATTTTATTGTACCTGTATTTTTAATGAAGTTCTAGATAGTTATGGCATTATAAGGCAGCCTTGGAGGTTCTCTGTGTAATTTCTATGTTTAAACCTATGTGAGGTAATTTAAAATAATGTAAGAGGAAGTCATCAGGGTGAAACTATTAGAAGCATAACTTTAGTCTTTTAAATAAAGTGAAATGCTAATCTTTCTTTCAAAAACAGATTTTTCTAGGTCCTGCATCAGCCTGATTAAAGCTAGAAGGTATAGCTGGAATTATGAAAATTATTCTGATGATAAAAAATGTCTTTGCGGTTTAATTTTGAATTCTGATCAAATATCAGTCACACCTGAATATTAATTGTAACATTTATTCTTCCTTTTCTTGAGTAATCAAAATGGAATGATTACGGCTCAAAATATAAAATGCAAATTTAATTGTTATATATATATAGGGTTTATTGGTCTATATATAAAGAAATTCTTTAAAAAAGCATGCAGGATGTAAAGAAAAAAAAATTGAGCCTATTCCTTTTATTTATATATACAGTTGTGCATAAAAGTTTACGCATCCTCCCATTTAAGAACGTGATCAATTCCCACTGGCAATTCATATAACAAATAACAGAAAAAAATGATATGAAAAAGAAATGATAATTTAGTAAAATAAAATAATAATCAGGCTGTTTAAACAGTAAAAAAAAAAAAGCTAGACATGAAACCCTTTGCTGCTCTAAGAGAATGGATCAAAGAATTGCATGAATAAGTTGATCCATCGATCTAGGTTAACATATACACCTTTAATGGGTTAAATTCCATTTTTTT